TTCAACACCAAAATGGCCAGTTTTAAAATTGACAACCCAATGTTTAAATGTTGCATATGAAGGGCCACTGTCACCCATAGTTTGTGACATTTCATCATGGATCTGCTTTGCACCTTTCCCTTGGAGAAATAGGAACTTGATTATGGTCCTATGGTTTTCCACATTGAACTTTTCTGGAGTTGTTAGCATGTTCACTTTAGACCTGAACACGAAAGATAAGTTAAAATCATAGGTAGTTGATTTTTGCACCATTGAATACAGACAAATTGGCCAATACACCCTGCAATTTATAGCTTCGTAGCTCAATTTTTTTCTGGAAAAGGCTCAGTACTTATCAGTGCCCCCTCATATTGTCAGTCCTATTCAAAAATACCATATTTACTTTTAAAAATATTGTTTTACTTTTTAAAGAGGATAGACATAATACAGTGTGTAGCTGCAGATGTTGTTTGCTGTCCAGCAAGCGATGATAACTTCGAAGTAATAGAAATAACTGTGTATTTTTGTAATTATTTTGCTCAATAACAAAATTGTAATTCTGTTGCATTATGATTGTTCTTAAAAAGGAGAGATTTCTTCTTTTTGCAATGCAAGTGTAACTTATTAGTTACTTTTGGATTATAGTTACACTTTTTGTAACTATATATGCAGTCCTGGATTTATTGAACAGGCTAAGTAAGCTACAGCTTGGAGCCTCTAAATAGAAAAAAATACTTTAAAAAAAGCAAATATGAATTTAAAATGTTTCCATTCTTTATTTATTTAAAACTAAGTAGGGAAAATAGCATCTAAGGAAGACATTATTTCATTTTAGGAGATTAAAATATCCCTAGTGCTTATAGAGTTTTTTGCGATATTGTGCTTATAAATTTGTTCAGAAGTTATTACAATTTGTATAAAAAACTCACTCGTCTACCAAAAGCTGTCTATAAGATACCAAACAATACTGTCAACAGGTGACAAGAGTTTTTTTCTCATCTATGTAGCAGTATATACAAATATGAAACTTTCATTGTCATTTTTGTAAGAACAACAGACCTGTTGTGTAGCTAAGCCAGTGTAGCGGAAATGATGTTACCAGCAATGGCAGATTTTCAATAATTAAGGTGTCCGTGGATCAGTTTCAGATCGTGCGCAACATGCGCACAATGAAACAAGAGCATGCATACCCAAAACAAAACAGCGACAGTTTATTTACAAGCTGCCAGTGACATCATTCCCAGTTTGTCTTAATTTGTGCCTTATTACAGTGGACCCTTGACTTACAGACAGCTTGACTTACAGACTTTTTGAGTTACAGACTTCTCTGGCCGCAAAATTTAGGTTTGACTTGCAGACTGAGATTTGACTTACAGACCAGAAAAAAACCAAAATGGAACAAAAACGGCCTGTTACGGGATTAATCGGTTTTCAATGCACTGTAGGTCAATGGAGCCTTGCCTTACAGACTTTTTGACTTGAGAACCGCCTTCCAATACGGATTAAGTTCTCAAGTCAAGACCCCACTGTGAAAGACAAATGGTGCTGCTGCTCCATACTCTGTGTGCTACCAAAGGAACAGTGAGTTCGATGGGATAGTTTGCACCACAAACCAATAGGTTTTAACATTAGCATCTTAAAAACAATGATTAGTGTTACTTTAGTTAAGAGAACTACTGTAGGTCAATAAAGAATTGCTTTAAAATGTGTAAATATGCTAGTAAAAAGGTTCCCCTTGACAGTTTCGTCCAGTCGAGTCCGACTTTAGGCGCCGGTGCTCATCTCTGTTTCCAACCCATAGAGCTAGCATTTGTCCTCAGACAATCCTCTGTGGTCACGTGGCCAGCGTGACTAGACATGGAACGCCGTTTACCTTCTGACCGAGGTGGTACCTATCTATCTACTCGCAATTTTGCATTTCTGCATGTTTTCGAACTGCTAGGTTGGCGGGAGCTGGGACAAGCGACGGGGGCTCACTCCGTCGCGTGGATTCGATCTTATGACTGCTGGTCTTCTGACCTTGCAGCACAGAGGCTTCAGCGGTTGAACCCACAGCGCCACCACGTCCCCTAAATATGCTAGTAGCTAACAGCTTTGGGGGCCCTTGCAAATGTAATTACTTATTCTTAAGTTCTAACTTACCAAGCTTCTGTCTGTGGTGTGTGAAATCACACTTCATTTGCCTGATTTTCGGCTTAGAATATGTGTTGCAGTTTTTGCTTTGGCTTTCATATATCATTTAAGAATCTCAATGTGACTGAAGGAGCAGTTTTAATACAATTACTAATTTTCTCTTTATTGCTTAGGAAAAGAAATCTGAATGTATTGTTTGAAAAAAATAAACTTTTCCTAATTGCTAATGAGTATTAAGAACGGATTTAATTTAGAGAGACTTGTATTAAGGGCCTCATTGGGCCTGATTGATTCAATTGTTCAAACTGCATTCTATCCATTCAGTGAAGTGTTTCTCCCTATCTCCTGGATAAAATAACTAGGAAAAATAGAAAAGGCAAGCATATGATGCATTTCTACCAATTAAAAGATTCTTGCCTTTGCTTACTTTCATCCAAATAGATCTTGTATCCCAGTTGTTTAGCATTGAACATTGAACATACAGTGGTGCCTCGCTTAATGGGCACCCCGTTTAATGACGAATCCGCATACCGATACGGATTTTGCGATTGAAAAAGCGATCGCATTACGATGTTACAATGTTGTCTTGAGAAGGACCGCAGGGGAGCCCTCTTCCTCCGAGGAGGAGGAGGCGGCTCATCCGAAGGCCAGCGGCGAGCGGCGCTTCGGCCGGCTCGCTCCTCCCGGGCCGTGGAGGGGGAAGGGGAAGAGAAAGAGCCCTGGCGCGGCCAGGCGCCTGGCTCCGCCTCCCCCTTCACCTCCTCCTCCTCTTCTTTAAGCCAGCAGCCGGCCGGCTTGTTCCTTCCTGGGCCGTGGAGGGGGAAGGGGGAAGAGAAAGGGCCCTGGCGTGGCCGGGCGCCTGGCTGCGCCTCCCCCTTCACCTCCTCCTCTTCTTCTTCAAGCCGGCAGCCGGCTGGCTTGTTCCTCCCAGGGTGGGGGCGGCGGCAGGGGAAGGGAAAGGGCCAGGCACCTGGCTCCCCGTCTTCCGCTTTACCTCCTCCTCTTCCTCCTCTTCCTCCGGAGGCTACTTCTGAAATGGCCAGCTAGGGGGAAATGCCAGCTGATCGGTGGTTCCAAAATGGCCGCCCGCTGTTTTCTGGACGGATTCCTCGCTTACCGAGGCGGCGAAAATGGCCGCCCCATGGAGGATCCTCGCTGAACGGTGAGTTTTGCCCCATAGGAACGAATTAAACAGGGTTTAATTCGTTCCTATGGGGGTTTTCTTTCCGTTTAGCGATGGTTTCGTATAGCAACGTTAATCCTGGAACGGATTAACGTTGCTATGCGGGGCACCACTGTATATAACATGGATCCCCATTACAGTCATTTAAGTCACATTGTTGTTACCTTCAAAAAATTTTTTAAAAAGGCATCTGTAAATACAGTCCAAGGTTTCCTCTAAGGTATGTGCCTGCACACATGTGAGGCCGCCCCGTGCGTACAGGGTAACTTCTCCTCCACACACCCGCAGCAGTAGTTTTCAGTCCCTTTGCTTCCAGTTGCAACAGAAGCCCGCCCAGGGGTGGCAACATACGCACAAGGGGCAGAGTCCTGCCCATCAGGGCTGAAAATTAGAGGGAATTTTGGTGCATTCATAATTCTTTAATATGCTTCTACAATAGCAATTAGGTTAAATCATAGTAAGTGCTCTAAAATTATTGCATGGCTAATGTTTAATTGACTTACAACATTTAAACGTGACAACCAATTGTGTAATAGAATAATGGATTTGACTTCTTTGAACCAACTATTGTTTTCCTAAATTCAGATACAATAGAATGTTCCTGGTTAGTTTTAAAAAGCAAAATTAGAATCCTCTGAATTTATGGATTAGAAGCACCTGACCCTGAGGTTTGTACACATAGCATTAATATGTAGTTTAGCATTTTGTCCCAGAACTCTGTGGTGCAAGAAGCTAAAAGAAGCGATTGGGAATGAGAATCGGGTAAGTGCTACCCAGCAAGCTGTTACTTGGATTTTGGAGGATTCACACATCACCAACTATTAATGATAGGTGTATGTCAGAATAATTTGAAAAAAAGTAATTTATGATCAATCATTCTGTAATATTTCTTCTTATTCATTTCCTGACTTATTTAAAGACCAGGACAGAGTTCAGAAATGTTCGTTCTATTGCCAAAAGAAGGCCTTTGAGAAAAGTCAAACTGACTGGTTTTTGCAATCTGTTTATTCTATTTCAAGAAACAGTAGGATTGTGAAGGCTGGTAGCAGCCTTCTTCTACAGCTGGTTAGTTGCATAAGAGATGAACAGTCTGAGAACTATCATGAATAAAAGAAAATGGTGAGAATAGTGAGATGAAGCAGCATAGTTATATTTGTCCTTGTTGCCTTGGTAACTAATTATTCATATTACCATAGCTTGTGTCCATAACTCAGTAACCTTCTAAGTTAAGGGGAAGTCTGAAGTGTTTGTGACTACACCAAAGATGTGAAGAGTTTTTTTCTCCATAGTGGATGGATGATGGATATACATCTGTGTTTCCCAGAGTAGTGAAATTATGTGCTGAAGTAGTGTATTGGCTTCATTTTTTTTGCCACTGTAGAACTTTTCAACATGTGGGTGAAAGGGATACAGTTTGACAGATATAGCAGAGGATTGGGTGTACTGAAACATCTGCCCATTCCCAGTTTGCCACTCTGCAGTGGCAGACGTGGCATGGGCAGTGATCTCGGGTATTACTCTCATGAGTGCCAAAACAGAGTCAGGAGAGATTGCCTACAATGAAGCTCCTCACCCCATCCCAAAAGCCTTTATAAAACTGTTGGTCTGTTGGCAGCTACTGCCACAGGTAGCCTTTCCCCCTCCTATCCTTTTTAATATAAATTTCCTCTCTTCAACCAATGTTGTATCCCCATCCTCCTCTCAGATAGCTTGAGACACTTGATCTCCCCACACATCTTCTCTCAGCCCCATGTGAAGTTTGCCTGGAATCACTAAAGTCTCTAAAATCTGGTAAGCCCCAAAATGGTGAGTAAAAGAAAGCCTGGTAGAAAATGAAAAGCTATCCTCAGGGTATGCCCCCAGCGTTGCAAGAGTATATCTATTATTTTTACTACAACTGGAATTTGAAGGTGTTCGGCTCTTCTAATTCACATGTTAAAGTAAATTCTTACTTGTCTCATCTTCATACTTGAGGATGAGGAGCTGTAACATTTCTCTCCTCTGCGCTGAAGAATATACTGATGCTCCACTGGGGGTCTTGCATCATCAAAATTGATCATTTGTGTAAAAGAACTGCCACTTATTTGAATAAAGTGATTAATTTTGCCCGGTTTGTGTGATGGTGTGAATTGTCCAAAACTAGTTTGGAGCTGCTTGTTTTAAGAACTGGAAAGCTTTTTTTGTTTTTGTTTTTTATTTTGTTTTGTTTTATTTTTGCATCTTTCTTAACAAATTAGACAGACAACTTACAATTACTGAGTGTTAATGATGCTGAAATATAGGTGAGTGTGGGAAATTTTTAAGAGGCTAAAGCATTTACAGATGATATTAGAAAAGGGGATGGTGGGAAGGTTGATGTGGGGGAGTGACAGATAATGTAAGCAGCTGCTTCTCTCTGCAGTGCCTTTAAAACATAATGGTGCTCTCTTTTACACTGTTTCCAGCAGCTGCTATGGCAACAGTCCTCTGATGATCTTAAACAGGTTGGTTAGTATAAAACTAGTGGAGAAAACTGTGGGTAGTTCTAAAAATCTGACCTGTTTTCTGTGATTTAAAGAGCTGTTGCCATAGGAACAGGAGCAGAAGAGAACAGAGTGCTAGTTCTAAGTTTTCACTGGCTCGGCAGATTAAGAACTGCCATCTTAATTGACATGACAAATTCATATGTTGTTTTGTCCTGTTTTCATAGGGATATATCAGCTATTTATCTGTTACATCTATTTGTCTTTTTTATCTACCTATCTATCCTTACAGGCTTGTCCCCTGCAAAATTTGGAGGGAGGGATATCAACCACTAATTAGATGTGGGAAATTATGTAGGGATAGGTTTATCTTTTTTTAATTGAAGTATTCAGCTGAGTTATTAAAATAACAAAAAACAAAACCATTCACTGTATTGAAAGTGCCAGCTTGGCTGCCCGTCAAGTAGTGTTCCTTTTGAAATTTAAGACAAAACACAAGCACAGAGAACAGTCTTTCCTCATAGGGCTTGGTTTCCAGTTCCCTGATCATTTCTGTTGCCCTCCTCTGGACTTGTTCCAGTTTGTTGGCATCTTTCTAAAAGTGTCATGTCCAGAATGGAAGATGAGTCCTAACCAGTGCCAAATAGAGGGCACTGGTTAATGAAGCCTAAAACATTGTTTGCCTTTTTCACACTGTTGGCTCATATTCAGCTTGTGATCTACAACATTTCTAAGATCCTTCTCATTTGTAGTATTACTGAGCCAAGTACTGCCCGTCTTGTAATTGTGCATTTGGGTGTTTTTCCCTAGTTGTAGAACTTTGCAGTTATCACTGTTAAATTTCGTTCTGTTGTTTTCAGCCTAGTGCGCAAGCGTATCAAGATCTTTTTGAATGTTGTTGCTGTCTTCCAAGGTATTAGCTATTCCACCCACTTCTATTATCATCCACAAATTTCCCTCCACCCCATCATCCAAGTTATTAATGAAAATGTTGACGAGAACCTGGTCCAGGATTTAGCCTTGTGGTACCCCATTTGTTGCCTCCTCCCAGTTTGAGAAGTAGCCACTGATAAGCACTCTTTGAGTACAATTCTGTAACCAACTGTGTATCTACCTGACAGTTGTTCTATCAGCTCACACCGAGTTAGTTTGGTGATCCAAATGTCATGAGGCACTTTGTGAAGTTCTTTGCTTAGAGTGGGATCTTTCTTCCATGCTTGCGTGCATAAACACTCTGACAGCAGAAGTGGGCAAAGTACAGCCTTCTAGATGTTGTTGGATTATAGTTCCCACCATTCCTCATTATTGGCTGTGCTGACTAGGGCTGATGGGCATTGCAGTCCAACAACATCTGGAGGGCCACACACTTTGCCCTCCTCTGCCCTTCAGCTATTTTGAATGAGCTTGCTTAAGATTCACTAGAAGGTTCCAAATCCAGATTGCAAGGGAGCATTTGAGCTTTAATTGTAGTGTTGCTAGGAAATATTTGATAATTGTGGCCAGTTCAGAATACTTAAAAGCTTACCTCTGAGGCATGACCTGTTTGTGAAATGGGTCTGTTATAGCTCATCATCCATCTCTTAGTCATTGATTTTGAAGGCCCAAAGTGGTTGAGACTGAATAAAATAGTTGTGTATAAAGCCCGTGAATGGTGAGCCATTTCTCGTAAGGTCAAGGTGGCAGATTTTTAGTCATAAGAGAAGCTGTTTTACATGAGGCTGTGTTCATGTAGATCAGTGGTTCTTAACCTTGGGTTATTCAAGTGTTTTTGGACTGCAACTCCCAGAAGCCTTCATCACCAGCTGTGCTGTCTGGGGTTTCTGGGAGTTGCAGTTCAAATACACCTGAGTAACCCAAGGTTAAGAACCACTGATGTAGACCATGGGCTTGCGTCTGCAAAAGCTGAGCAGGGGCAGGATAGGACATTTTGGGACTCTCTCATTCATAGAATCGCCATGAGTCGGAGGTGACTTGACAGGATATAGCAACAGTGTTCATGTTACACTGCATTTAAATATGCAATATTCCTTCTTTCTTTCTATTGGATTTGCAGTAGTGAATGTCACTCCTTGTCTAACAGCTTTTTAAGGGTTGATACTTAGAAATTAATATACATAGTTTAAAGTATGAAATACAGTTTAGTGTAAGCTAAGGTGTACAAAGCATAGTTTAGTATGAACTGCAAAAAACATATAATCTTAAATATTAAAGGATATTTAACAACTGTTTGTGCTGATAAATTGAAAAATGCAGCAATCTTAAATTAAGGGAATTGGAGTAAATAGAGTGGGAAGGGAATATATTTCATCCTTTACCAAGAAGTGTCCTATGTTTTGTTGGTTGATAGCCACAGCTCAGAAATTCTTTAAGATCAATTCAGAGTCAGTCTATGATTTTGAAGACCGTAAGATAATTAAACTATGTGGCCGTAATTGGACATCATCCATGTTTTAAGCTGCTTTTGAGATAAATGATTTTTTTTTAAAAAAAGAACAGGCTACATGATTGTGGAAACAACAGAAAAAGTGGTACCTCACTAGACAATGTTAATCTGTTCCATTGAAATTGCTGTCTTGTGAAAACATCGTCTAGCAAAAAGCATTTCCCCATTGGAATGCATTGAAACCCGTTTAATGCGTTCCAATGGGGAAAAATAGTTGATGTTTTGTGAAGATCGCCCATAGGAAAGACGCTTTGTTAACCGCCAATCAGCTGTTTAAATCACTGTCTTGCGAAGCATCAGTCCCGAAACCCCCATTTTGCGAGCGCAGAGGGAGCTGCCAAACTCGTCTTGCAAAAAACGCTGCTAAAAAAATACCCGTCTTGCGAAGCATGGACCAAATCATTGTTTTGCAAAATTCCCCCCATAGGAAAACCCGTTTTGCAAATTGCTATAGCGAACGCAAAAAGTCAACGTATAGTGAAAAAACCGTTTTGTGGGGTAAACATCTAGCGGGGCACCACTGTACAAGAACTTGATGCACAGCATTGAAGAAGATGCTTTATCATCAAAAGCTCGCTCTTTTGGGTTTGGTTTTTTGTTTTGTTTTATATTCTTAATGGTCGATTACAGGTATCACCTGTTCCTATTGTTGTATTGATTTTAAAAAGTCATCTTCACTACTATTTTAACTTGGATAAACTTAATTCAGTATCCCCCTCGGTTGTTTTTTTAAAATGAAGAGTTTACTAAAGCAAATAGGTATGGTTCCAAAATGGTGAGCCATACTTTTTTTCTTCTTCAGTATCTGTTTGTAAATATCCTATATTAGTCTGATCACATATGTATTCGGAAACTATTTTCTGTCTAATTGTTTGCCACTGTGGCAGGTTATTTGTATTGGTAGACAAAGTGAGATGAGGAACTCTTAAGCAGTTAAGACAGTCTGTTTCATTTTCCCTTTGTTGGTTGTCACCACATGATATAAAAAAGAAAGGGCAATAAATATTTTTGGTACATGGTACAAAAACTCAGTTTGCCTGCACAAGTCTTAGCTGTGATAGTAATCAGCTATAGCTTTCCCATATCTTCCTGGATTCCACAAAAATGTGTAGGTAAGCAGCTTTTCTGTTAAAATACTTAAGAACAAACATTTAAAATTTATTATTCTGAAAAGTTAGCGGTGTTGTAAGAACAAAACTTCCTCATGCAGATACTTTTACTGTTGCCAGGAGCTTTCTCGACTATTTGAATTCAGTTTCACATAAGTAGCCAAAGGCACCTAGACTTGGTTTTTGTTTGAGATATTTAAAGGAAGGACTTTGTGGAAATCTGTTTTACTTTCAATCTGTATAAATTGATGTAAACTGCAGTGCTGTGAGAAGATTTGCATAGTGCATTCCACTATAATTGATATCACGTTTTAATGTGTGTTATGCATGTGTGTGTAAGAGAGAGGATATTGAAGCAACTCATCTAGTACTAAATGTTCAGGGAGGGAGTATTTTTGTAGAAACTGTGAATACTTTGAAAATGTGGTTGGAAGCTCAACCTACATGTGGGCAGAAACCTGTAAAAATAATTTGGGCATTTTCACTTCCAGATACAAGCTTACAAGGAAAATTAACTTCCAGAGTTCAGATAATTTCCACTGCTTAGAATTGACATTTCTGTCTATATAGACCTTGCTGCTTTATGCAGAACTTGCTATTTTAATGTTGCTGAGAATTTGCCTGATTCTAGCAGAAGAGAAAGGATAGAATCCCAAAGTTCAGCTTCTGATTTACTAGTGCAGAGAATGTTGGTCAATAGTGGTTGTCTATGGTTTCTTTTGGCTGTGTTCTGTAACCTGCTTTAGTTTTTAATTCTTGTTATCGTTATACTTTAGATACTTTGTTCAATAG